TGTTAGTGTTCACTGCTTAAATTGATTGTAAGCTATCCCAGAGCAGAGACTTTTTTTCTCAAGATAGGGACAATGTGCCCCACTCCAACCCCAAACCCTACTAACATCTGAACAAGCCTTTGGTTTCTTGTTTGGATGATGCCAGATAACAGGGCTTTCTGTAAAAATGAGCCTCTGTCTCACAGCTTCTGTTCTCTGTCATCCAGCTTATCAGGCCCCCCATCATTTCAACCACTGCCATGACTTGCCACTTAACTGAGGATGCATTTCATCTGTACAGGCCCCCAAGGATCACAGGCACTGATTTCTGACTGTACAAACGGTCAGTGTCAGTTGAGGTTTGGCCCTTGATAGCCAGCCTGTGATTAGCTGGGCCGCAGCACAGTGCAGAACAGGGCTAGCCACACCCTGCAAAGAAGAGTTGGCGCTCTGCCAAAATATCAAGCATTTGGAACCCACCCACTTGACTTTGACCTCACTTTTCTTTGCCATTTTACAAATGCTATCCAATAGCACCTCAGCACCTGTTCATGATGGTACTAGCCTTTGCCTGGCCACCTGAAAGGCACACCAGGAGATGTCTTCATGCCTTAGCTGGATAGATGGACATGAGAGAAGGTAGTGTGTTTCATTGGAAAGTGATCAGAGAGAGTAAGCCTCTTTTTGGAGGATGAGGTCAACATATGTGACTTTTTTGTTGTTGTTCTAATCAACAGGGTCTGTTTTGGAGACAAGAGACTTAAAGCAGAAAGGGATGGGTGTGGGGAATCCACAGTGACCTACTGCAGGCTGCTTCCTCGAAGGAAAATCAGCAGCTTCTCTAGAGACCCATTTATATACAAAGGAATTCTCCCCTCCCTTCCACAACTACCCCTTCCCTTTCCGATCCTCTCAAATTTCGCTGCCACAATACCCCTCTGTCCTTCCCTGACTCCACCTAAAGCTGGGCACCCTTGCTGCCTTAGAGATCGTTGGCACTCAACCCCAGTGCCTTGCTCTCAGGGCAGAAGGGAAGTCCTGCTGGGTCCAGAGGTAAAGCAGGACTGCCTCTGGCCTCTTTCCCATCTTATCAGAGAATTTCTGGCGGGCACAGACACATGTACACAAAACCACACAGACACACAGCCCAAGCCAGTGATGACGTTCCCCTGCCTGGCTGGTTCTACAGATGGGTGTGACTGGGTCAGAGTACAGGGAGGGTCTAAATATTTAGATACTGGACTGCCTAGCCCTGATTGGAAAACAGGGATCATCTCAAAATGAACATTTTGAGAAAGAAACAGCCCTTGACATCCAGAAGCTGACCTGGGACTGTCGGCTAGGCCTTGGTGTTGCTACAAACTGGCCTGGTGCTCACTGCTAGTCCTGGGTGTTGTTGAACATAAGCCAATTCATAAGACATTAGCATTGTACAAGGCCACTCTGACCATGGTGGATCGAGACAAAAACAAGACTACTCCATAATCATCTGTAAACACAGACAAAAACATGATCATCGCCCAAACCACAGAAATGACCAAACATCACCCCCCCCCCTTTCCTGGCTAACCTGAGCAATGGCTCCTTCTTTACCAGTCACAGCACTAGCCTCACGCTAGTCTGCCCACCCAGTGGGTAAGATTTAATAAGACACCCAGTCATCGAATTTTCCCTTCTTCCTAACAACATCCAATCCAGAGCAAAGCCCAGCTTCCTTAAACCCTCCCCAAATTACCCAGGCCAGCCCAAATCCTATCAGTCTTTTCTAGCACCCTCTTCTTTCCCCACAGTGTGCATTCCCCCTTGCTGCAGTGAGCCATAAATCCAACTTGTTTAACCTTAAGAGTGTCCTGGTGGTCTCCAGCTGGTGGGTGTTGACAGTTTGGAGACAAAGAGCCAAAATATCTTCTGGAGGCCTACTGCCGTTCAGAGAGTCCTGTGAATTTTGCCTTGTCTTGTACCATCCTGAAGATCTTACCTAGTCCCAGTGGAACCTCCAAGATCTGTGTCTTAGTGGGTGAAAGCTCAATAGTCATGACTGGGACACAGATGCCTGACTTCCCAGGCAGGTTCCCGCCTACAGTGTCTTGGCATTTGCAGCACAACACAGAGATGCTTCTGGAGAAGCACCTAACATGGGTGTTGAATTTATGAATATATACATTAATAAATGTATTTGTTGGTCAGCTAGAAACATTTACTGTGCAGCTACTGCATGCCATGATAATAATAAATATAAAAATGTTCACTATGCTTACATGAATATGTTTAGTATCCTTAATACAGAGGATGTAGCTGACATTCAAACAGATTACACCTCTTTCTCTTCACTTTTCCTCAGTCCCTTCATTTTTCCCGCTTCCTCTAGGAATCTCTGCAGGTCCCCCTCTCCCCTTGTTTTCTTTCTCCCTGTGTTTCTTCTTCAGGTTTCAGGAAGTGCTCCCTGCCTGTGTGAGTGTTTCCTGAAGCAGTGAAGCACAGTGGAAAGATCACTCTTCTGGATTTGAGTCTCGGCTCTACCATTCACTCCTGGAGGAACTGGGCAGCCTCATCTGTAAAATGAAGAGAACAGACTCGACCATCCCTCCACCCTCAGCTCTAACCTCCTGTGTATGGCAAAGTCTCTCCAGTGCTTGCACAGGACTTTCTTCATCTTTCCATGGACTCAGTTGCCTTTCATCTCTAAGGTCGAGAGCAGATGCTAATGGGACCCAAAGCCCTTGACAAACGTCTCCCCATATTGCTTTTTCTGTCCCTTTGGCTCAAGTAGATTTACAGTTTGGTTTTGTATTTGTTTGTCTGTTTGTCGCTTATGATTCTTCCTTGACTTAGAAAGTTACATCTAGACCAAGGACCGCTAGAAACTGCACTTGCTTTATTTGCTCTCCATGGAGAGTTTGGCAGCCTCAAAACTGGCTCAATGAAAGGGTGGCATCCTTCAACCCCTAAAAAAGTTGGCTTTGAGCCCAGAATTTCCCCAGGAAAGCTTTATGACAGGACTATTCTCAGCCATGATCCTAGAACATACATTCCTACCCAACCACTTAATGGCTCCAATCCCTGACTAACACACCTTGCAGAACATGTAGGTGGACAGCCACCATAACCCAAGGCAGCTCTCAACTTGAGGACTAGAGAAGAGCTCAGAACCACCCCTCACCTCATGCCATAAAAGACCCAAGACCAGCCTGTTCACCCACTTTGTTCTTTTTTTTTTTTCTTAAGATTTTATTGGGGAATTGAGGAAGGGGAACAGTGTTGGAAAATTGGGGAAGAGGAACAGCCAAGTTGTTGTCCTTCAATCTTAGTTGTGGAGGGCGCAGCTAGCTCAGCTCCAAGTCCAGTCGCCATCCACCCACCTGTCGGCAGTTCGCAGCTGCTCAGCTCAAGGTGCTGTGTTCAATCTTAGTTGTGGGTGGGTGTAGCCCACCATTCCATGAGGGAGTCCAACCGGCAACCTTGTTGTTAGGAGCATGTACTCTCATCAGCTGAGCCATCCTGCCACCTGTTGGCAGCTCAGCAGCAGCTCAGCTCGGGAGCAGCTTGGGCACAACTCACTGGCCCATGTGGGAATCAAACTGGCAAACCTGCTGCTCAGAGCTCGCGCTTTTAACCAACTGAGCCACTCAGCTGGCCCACCCCCTTTGCTCTTAATCCATGACCATTTCTACATTGGTCTAGGCCTTGGCATAGCCCTGCCCCAAAATGCATTGACAAGTGAGCCAGGAAACTTGCAAGCTTCAGCAGCACCTTCCTACTACCTGAGCGACAAAAGGAAACTGCATACAGAGAAAGAAAAAAATCAGTACCATGATTTGCTGAGTGAGAAAGGATGCCTAAAGATCACTGCCTCTCCGGAGGGAAAGGGGAGCTTTAGGTGTTTCAGAGACCAGCAGAGCTCCTCCAGCTTGAAGCCTTGCCTTGCCCAGGCCTGTGCCCCTCAGCCACCTTGTTGAGACTAATATCCCAAGCAACCAGTGTGGGATTCGGGTCTCCACCTCCAGCTGGAGTCCTCAAACTAGTGGCACAGTGGGATGGAGGTGGGGATGGTAGTGAAAACAGAATCCTGGGCTTCAAAGTCACCCCCGCCTCAACCTGGACCAGGACAGTATCAGGTTCTAGAAGCAAAAGCCACAGTGACTTAATGCAAGGGTCCAGCGTAGCTCGAGGCTCAGACCACTCCACATTTGTCCTCATGGTGGCACGAGCCCATGTGCTGGCCTGTTCCTTGGAACAGGAGGTTGCAAAAAAGAGACCTCAGCTTCCTAGTGACCCCCCCTAGCCAGTTCCAAAGCCCTGTGGACAGAAGGAAATCCCAGAAGCCCTCCTCTCAGCAGGTGCTCCCTGTGGGAGGTGGATAATTGCAAAAGGTTATCTTAGTGGGGGAGCTTAGTGGGGGAGCAGAGTTGGAAACATGCAGTTCCCTTCCGGGCATTCCCTAAGTGCCCCAAAACAGCACTGAGTGGCCTCGCTGGATAGAAGCTCGGCGGTCTCCATGGGGACTCTCACCCGCCACGTCTTCCCAGCTGCCCCAACTGAGTCTTTCCCTGGGAGCCCGGAGCCGCGCTTGCTTGCCTGACCGGACGGGAGGAAAGTGGAGGTAAGGGGGGCCAGGGGCAGGAAAGAAGGGATTGAGGGGAAGTTTCATGGGGTGTGCCGGGGACGGGGTAGGATTCTCATGAGTCAGCGGATCGGGCTCAGTGTGACTTCACTGCTTCCCGAGAAGAGGCGCCCTGGGCAGGAGGCAGCTGGCTGCCTGCGCCGGGCAGGCACCGGACGGGCTCGGGGCTGGCCAGGCCGCCTGGGACTGGGGCGGAGAGGGGAGGCCACGCGGGAGCCGACCTCTCTCCTCTCTTCCTCCTTCCTCCCGGACTCCAGTTCCCGCCTAGGCCCCAGACTCCGCGCGCTGTGTGTCCCTTCTGCAGGTGGCGCTGCGGAGGCGCCCTGGGCGCACGCCTGGGGGTCAGGGGCAGAGCTCAGCCCGCGGGGATCGCAGCTTTGGAAGGCGCAAGCCGAGAAAGAGGGTGGCCAGGGAGAGGCGGGAGGGGCCGCCAGAACCCCCACTGCCTCGGGGGCCTGGCGTTACCCCCACGTGGCGGGAGATCCCGAGAGCCGACCTTGCTGCGGTAGCGCCTAAGCGTGGGGCAGTTTCGGGAGTGCTTCTAATAGTCCTTCGGGCCACCTCCTGTGCCCCGCCGACGAGCTCGGGGTGGCTCACCTTCAGCAAAGGGATTGCGGTTGCGGGGTGTCTTTCCTCTGCGTTGACGACGCTTTGAAACCGCGGGCAGTAGAATGGAAACTTTGAGTCGCGTCTCGGGCCTTGGCGGTGGGTTTCCCTGAACAGCCACTCTCTAGCCTGGCCCCCTTAAGACCCAGAATGCACCAAGGTTAGACTGTGACCGGAGCTGGGGCCCAGTCTGGGACCAGGGCTCAGCCTAGATGAGGGGTAGGGGCTCAGCCTTGGGCTGGATGTAGGGCGGTGGTTATAGGGATTCCGTGCTTGTCAATCCGGTTGTCAGCAGCCAGAAAGAAAAAAAAAAAAGCTAAGAGGCCCATCTGGGGCTCAAACTTGCAACCTTGGCCTCGGTAGATAGAACTTTGTGTCGTACCTTCTTGCAGGTCCTGAGCTCTAGAAGTCATGATGCTGCTGACTTCCCGTGTTGGTTCATGATTATGTGGTAGCTGTTTAGTTAACATATTAAGGGTATCAGGGCACAAAAATAACTTGTGGCCAGACACATTTAAACTGACAAAAAAGTTGCTGGGGCTGCAACCTCACCCTTTTCAGGGGCTCCAATGGCTATTCTCATGATACAGCTTTATATATTACAGAGTGTGTCTTCTTTTTCTGTGCCAAGAAGTAAAAGCTATGTCCTGTACTAGTGTTCTGGGTGCCTCTTCTCCTGTCAGTCAGTCCAGCTCCCCTGCTTTCAAAGTGTCCAAGGCCATCTGAGAAAGTTATCGAAGGATTTTCCATAAAGAAGAGGAAAAGGGGAAAAACCCAAAAGATCCTGAACGTTCCCAGGTTTCAGCGTGTGCCAGGAGAAATACCGTCTGTCTCCCTCCCAGACCTCAGATCCCGGGCGCCTCCTTCGTACAGGGCGGTGCCCAGCTATTCCTGGAAACCCCCTCCTTTCTACTAACACCCTCACCAAGGTGTCCCCTCCCAGAGCAAGACCTAGGAAAAGGATCATATTGTCAAAGCTTGATGTCCCCTGTCCCGTCTGTCCCTAACCTGACTTGCTGCAGTCCTCAGCCTGCCTCCTTTCTTGATGCCCTCGGGCTGGCTTCTCCTCCTGGAGCAGTGTCTGGGCTGCGTCCCTTCCCTCTAGCCTGGCCCAGTGCCCCACTAGGTGACTGGGAGAGGATCTGATAGACTAATTTGTGTTAATGTGATAATGGGGTCACGTGCTAACCACTGGCCAATTTCTAGCAGGGCCTCACAGCTTCAGTCCCAAATTGAGGCTGCAAGGATGGGAATTTCAAGCTGACTAATATGTACAGCCGACTGCAGGGGTGGAGGGGAGGGACTGGGAGGAACCAAAGCCCTGGACGATCCCAGGGTGCTGGTGCCTTTGAGCTGAGCTGCTGCCTTGGTTTCAGTTTCATCCTTGGCTGACACTTTCCTCCGATGAGTGGAATTGCTTTGGTTTCCCTCCAGCCCCCCTCCCTTCCCCAGCTGCCCCCCCTTTTGGACTGCTAGCTTCCCTCAGCCAGGCCTTCACTTTGTGAGGGGAGAGATGGGAAGATAATTTGGCAGCAATGAGGAAAAAATGTACACGTAGACACCCTCAGACGCACAGACTCACATACCATGCTGCCTTGCTCACACACACACACACACACACACACACACACACTCCGGGCCACAGTTACTCCCTCACTCACATCTGAGAGACCCACATTGACACTGACATAGGCAGGCAAGGCCCTACAGAGACCCTTCCCACACACAGACACACACACACACACACACACACACACACACACTGGCGGCAGCAGCCAACTTGGATGACTTCCTCAAAAGAGGGCTGGAAAGTTTGTTTGCTGCCAACGAAGGGGCCTAGACATTCCGTGAAATGACTCATGCTGTACCTTTATAGACATTAAATATATTTTTATGGATTAAACAACAACAACAACAACCCTTGACCCCTGTAGTGGGGGCTGGGTGGGGAAACTGAGGAGTGGCTGCATTCCCATTGGGCCTCTGTCTAGCGCATGTCTCAGGGTTGTTCTTTCCTCCCTGTGGGATGGGGCAATCCTGAAAGAGCAGAATCATCTACCTCTTGGTACAAACCTCAGCCCTCAGCGGCCCCTTGGCAGGATGTGAAGTGGGTGGAACTGGGGGCTAACAATTCCCCCTCACAGCCTCTCCTCCATACCCCACCTCATCCCCATCCTGAAGATCTGGAGTCAGGCCCCGTGTCCCCACTACAGTATCCCAGTCTGAGTCTTTCCTGATCTCTCCTTCCATTCAGGCGCCTCCTCCCAAATCTCCTGGGTCTGTCCTTACTCCCACCACCCTGCACAACTCCAGGGGGCACTATTCACAGTGTATAATATATAGTGCCCCATGTAATGTCACTGGAGTCCCCTCCACTCACCTGAGCCTCCTCTACATCTGAGGAGGGAATGCCCAGCTTGATGGCTGCTTGGGTCCCTGTCCCCCAGCCTACCCACAGGCCCACAGAAGGCCTTCATGTGTTGGCATCCCTCTGCTCCCCCCAAATCCCAGTCCCTGCCCCCAGCAGCATCCCCTTAAGCCAAACCCTTCTTAGGCCCACTCATTTTGTCCTGCGGGCCATGAGGGGAGGCATCTTTGAAGCATCATTTGGCCTCTCCGCAGGACCATGGGTCACAGTGAGGCGGCCTGTCACACAAGATGGGTGTTGGGCTAGCAGATGTTGGGGGTTGAGGGGTTAACTCTGGCTCCACTGGAGAGTGGCCTGAAAACTCTGCTGCATGCTGTCTCTGATAGGTGCCCTAGTGCAGGCATCAACCCTCCTTCCTGGTCCTAGGGACTTTTCCAGGCTGAGTCCTGGCTCCCAGACAGAGGCTAGGGACCAGTGGGATTAGAGACTTCATGGGGCTTGCCCTCATTTGCTGAACTCTGTCCAAGGCCACTTCTGCCTTATTTTTGCAAATGAACAACAGGATTAGGTCCCTCCCCCTACCACCACTCCAAAAATCTCCCACTAACCAAGAGGGCCAGCCTGTAGGGCACTGAATCTGTCCTCCCTCCAAACACCAGGCTTTCATGTGGCACCTCTTATGTCCTGAGTCAGGGCTGTCATCTCCCTCCAGGCAGGCCCTTGAGCTGCTGTCCAGACCTCCAAGAAGTGAAACCTAGGGGTCCTCTGAAGTTTGGGAGGGGCTTACATGGTGCAGGGGGACTGTCCCAGCAAAGGCCTGGAGGGGAAAGGTATAAACTCTCCCTTTAAATGAGAGCAGGGTTTGGTGGGGGAAGGGGGGGCAAGGGGCCCCCCAAGAGCCCCAACCAAAGATGGTGGCTGGCCAGATGAAAGTTATGGTCTGGGAAGTTGCTCCCAACTACACCCTCCCATCTGTATGTCTGTGCTTTAGCTTAGGCACTCCCCCACCCTTCTCCCATTACTCTCCCCCCAATATTGGCCAGGACAACAGACCATCATCTCAGGAAGGAGCCCTTTGGTATAAGCGAGTCCAAGGAAGTCTTCTATTTTGCAGCTATTCAACAATCTTTTTTGAACAAACACCCAACCACAACCTGGGACTTAAAGCTTTCTGTCTGTCATTGGCTCTAGCTAGGGCCTTGTCATATAAACCCAATAGAGGCAAACCTGGGGTTACTGAACATATTAACAGAAGCATGATTGCTGGCTAGATAAAAAGGATTATAGGGGCTTCTTAGCTTTACAGGTGGGAGGGTTCCTTTTAAAGTATCATTTCTCTCCTAGCTTTTGAATATGCTTCTCATTCCAAAAGTCTGATTGATAGACAACTTTCCTAGCATATGTCTGTGGTGGAAAGTAAGGGCCATGGCCACAGAAGCCATTTTGTCCTGGCCACAGGTTTGAATAGAATTTGTTGAGACTAAGGGCTTAAGGGAGGGGGAAGCAACTAGCCACTTTGTCTCCCAAGAACCTGGGGTGATCTACAGAAGAACACAGGCTGTCAGGCACTGCTTGCAAGAGGGGCTGAGAAAGTTGCTGAAGTGGAAAGGCAAGCTGACTGCAGAAGTGGGGAGGTGGCCCTACACAGGCTATGGGCAGCCAGGGGGCCTCTCTGCTTTTGGAAAGACCCAGGTTGTGAGGCCTGAGAGGACCGAGTAGGGGTTGGAGAGTGAGGGTAAAACCGGGCTGGAAGGAGAGAGGCTGAGAGCACGCTGGATGGCACGGGCTGGGCATCCACAGGCAACTTGAGAAGGGGAATTCCTGCCAACTCAGGGAATGAGCCATTGGCAGAGACAGCATGGCTGTCGTCAGGAGTGGTGATCTCAGCCAGCTTGCCCCACCTGGCTGGGACTCACCCTATTGGTAAGCGGAGGAGCAGGGAGCCAGGTGGGGAAGGGCTGGTAGGCTAGGGAGCAGCAAAGTCATCAGGAAGGGCAGCCCAGCTGACCCAGAACCGCGGAGACAGGAAGGTCATTCAGGTGGCCTATGGCTCCCCAAGGCGAGGTTGGCACAAGATTTTCATCAAGGGAGTGGGATTTGCTTTGGCTGCAGCTCCCAGGTCATGGGGCTCTGGATAGTTCTGAGTGGCTGGGGAAGGTGGGAACTTACTGGTTTTCCACAAGCCGTGGGTTCCAGGTCACCAGCAAACATTCGGGCCAGTCACTATGAGGTGGTCGGCACAGTGCTGTCCTCCCTCCCTGCCCTTCTCAAGAGGAAGACCTCTGTTCTGGCTTTTCTCTGCCTTGAGGCTTCAGCTTTGGTTCCAACCACAAACATGCACAGGAGGGATCCGTGATGAGTCTAGGTAGAGAAAAGCAAAGTGAGGACGAAGATGGCGCTGAAGGCAGCTAACATTTATTGAGGGCTTCCTAGGCACCAAGCGCAGCCACAGCCATAGGATACTTTATTCAATCCTCACCACAGACCTGTCATTTATATTCTTTTTTTTTTTTTTAAAGATTTTTTATTGGGGAATTGGGGGGAGGGGAACAGTGCTGGGGAGTTGGGGAAAGGGGAACAGACAAGTTGCTGTCGTTTTGTTCTTCAGTCTAGTTGTGGAGGACGTTGCTTCACTGGCCCAAGTTGGCACCATCATTGCGCTCTTCTCTGGCGAGGCAGATCAGTCGCCGGCTTCTGGACGGCCGCTCACTGCGGCTGCTGGCCGCTCACGCTGGCTGCTGGCCACACACGGTAGCCCATGGCAATCCACTGCCATAGGGACTGCAGCCCACGCCGTCGCCGGCGACTCATGGCAGCCCAGCTCCAGGTTGAGCTGCCGTTCAGCATCTCAGCTGCGGAGGGCAGTGTCACTGGCCCTCATATGTGGGATCCGAACCGGGGCCCTCTGGCATCCCAAGCGAGTTCCCAACCATCGCGCCACTCGGCCGGCCCCTGTCATTTATATTCTTACTATCGCCAATTTAAAAATAAGATAAGTGAGGCTTAGAGCTTTTAAATGACTTGCCCAAGGACATACAGCTGGAGTAGGAATCCAGGTCTGTCTGTTGTTAGAGACCCCTGAATTCTTAACAAGATGGCAATGTGTGTGTGTGTGTGTGTGTGTGTGTGTGTGTACGTGTCTGCGTGGGCGCGTCCATTAGGGAGTTTCAAAGTCAAGATAAAGGGAGCTTAGGAGACGGCTGGGATCTACCACAATTTTGAGAGGAGAGCCTCATGGGCAAGAGACCAGCAGACAACTGTGTGTCTCTCGGATCCAGAATCCCCTGGGGAAAGTGTGCCCACTTAGAAAAAAAAAAGTGGACATTTGCTCTTGGAGCTTATTTCAGGGACGTGGCTATAGGTAGCCAAGAGGTCTCAAGGGCCAGTGTCGCAGTGCAGCCCTTAGGTTTTTCTTTCCCTGGAAACCTGTAACCTGTAGCTGCCTCCACCATCATCACCCAGCCTTTTCCAAGGCTGGGGAAGCAGGCAGATGCTGGTGGCTGAGCAGGTCCCTGAATCTCAGGCCCTTTGGCCACCCCTGCCCCTCAGAGAGCCCTCCTCCCCTGGGACCCTTTCAGCTTGGCTGCTTTCTGCCAAGGAGATGCCAGGGCTGAGGCCTGGTTGGCACCCTCCTCCAGACTATGGAGAACCTTAAGGAGTCACAATTCCCAGCACCTCCCTCCCAGAGCGTCTTAGCTGTTGGACCAGTGTGTGTGTGTGTGTGTGTGTGTGTGTTGGGGCGGGGGGGGGCTGGTGTGGAGGTGGAGGCAGGCCAGAGGAGAGGGTAAGGGAGAGAAAAGGGGAGACTGAGGTTCAAGTGGGTGCCTCAAGCACAGCGGCCTGGCTTTGGACAGAAAGGGACATTATCTTTGTCCCAGCGTCCTAACGCTGGCTGCCTTTGCACCTGCTGTGCCAGCTCCTCTGTCCCCGGCCTTTACCTCATTCATATCCTCCTGTCCCTCCCCAACCGGGAGCCTTTAAGCTCGACTTCCCGTGGGCTCTGTGGCAGCCCTGCCCTCGCTGTCCCCTGGGGGCGAGAGAGCCTCGAGGGGAAGGACAGACCCAGGGGACCCCTGGAACGGCTACCCCTGCTTTGCTATCGACTGCGGAGGGCCGGGGATGGAGGGGCGCTGCTTCCACCAAGACGCCTCCCTCGCTCCCTCCCCCGCCCCGTCAGCCCGCGGTCCCTCCCGTCGGTCCCTCCCTCCGGCTCTTCCCTCCCTCCTGCCCAGCCTCCTTCGCGCCCGCCCCAGCCGCCGCCTGCGGGGACCTGTGTGGCTCTGCTGCAATTTCCCCTTTCGCTCGGTTGTCTCAGCGTAGGTCTCCACGGGCTTGGGCCCCCTCCCCGGGCGCCCCCGCTGCCCCGGCCGCCGGCCGGGAATTCACCCCACCCCCCAGAGTCGTTTTTTCCCGGGCGCCACGGATTCACCTGGTATTTGCATCTCGCCCTCCAACTTGCCTTTGGCGGCGCGACGTGTGGGAGAGCCCTGCGCCTCGCCCGCCCCGACCCGCCTGCCCCCGCGCCGAGGTGAGTCACGGGCGCAGGGACGCGGGGGCAGTCGGGCAGGGAGGAGAGGAGGGAGGGAAGGAGGGAGGGGGCGGCCTCGGGGACCGACCGGGCGCCGCGCTTTACTTCCACTTCTCCTTTCGCCGGCGCCGAAGTCCCGGCGCCACTTGCCCGGCCCGGCTTCCGAGGGGAGAAGGCGGGCTGGCGGGGCTGGGGACCCGTGTCTCGGCCCCCGGAGCGGGGAGGGGAGCACGGCGACCGACCTGGCCGGGAGACCGAGCCCACTACGCCTCAGGTACGTCGATGGCGCTGGTGTTTCGAGCCTTCAGGGACCTCGAAAAGTTTGCCTGAAGGCGGGATCTGGGGCGCCGGGGCCCCAGAGTGGAGGGGTTGCGGGGCCCAGGGAAGGCGGGGAGAGCGCGGCGTGTTGAGTCCCGCCCTTGCCTCGCCCCACTGTGTGTGTGTTCGGGAACTTGGGCTCCTGGTCCCGGGTTAGAAGCAGAATCTACTTTCCGAGTCGGGGTGGGGGGCCAGTTTTCCCGCGCCCTGGGCAGCCCGGGTTCCTTGACCGGTTCGGTCGCTACAGCAGGCCTCCAGAAGCTGGGTACCGAAGAGCAGGAGGTCGGGCTGGTCTGTAGCGGGACTCTTAAGATTTGTCTGGTGGCCCCTTAGGGTTTCTGCGGCCCGGCGCCTTAGGGTAAAAGACACACACACACACCCGCCAAAATAGAGACCTCTTGGCGGGCACTGGAGTTTACGTGCGAGCCAGCCGCCAGCCTTCCGGCTCCCGCGTTCCCGCTGCTCTCCCGAGTTCTCCCGCCTCTCTGTTCCCTCTTCAGCTGCCCGCTAGGGAAGTCCGCAGCCACACAGCGCGGGACCCCTGCCGACAGCGCTGTGCTTTTGGAGACTGCTGAGGCGGTAGCGCCCTTATGAATTCCTGGTCCCTCCACCGCACCCTTAACCCTGCCGCCCTTTCCTTACGACTGTGTGCCGGCACATGGCCTTTCTGACCAGAGTCACCTGCTGATCCCTTGGCACCGGGCTAGGTCAAATTCGCCCTGGCTTGTGCCCACCACTACCACACCCCAGTAAGGGGATTTGATAGCCATTTGATTCCTGCCCCTCATCCCTCTGCCGGATATTAAGGCCTGTTTGGTCCTGCAGCTTCTTCTGGTTAATGTTTGACAGTTCATTGTAGCTAATCATTTTAATTAGCTCTTAAAGTGGGGAGGAACAGTTAACCTTGGACTTCTCGATTTTTGCTTGGTGGGGCCTCAAATGGGAGGAGTGCTGGGGAGGTGGGGATGTGGGAGAGGAAGTGAAGTCACCACCCCAAGGCCTGAGTCGCCACTGCTGGGCCCTGAACAGCTGGTGGGCACGCCCATCAGGGACTCACCCCTTGTGAGATGACCCCTGGCCTAAGTGCCAGGTGGGAGGGGGGTGAAGGGAACAGATCTAGCTGTCCCCTTTGGCATTGAAAATGCCCAGGGCACACATATGCCCGGCAAGAATGCAAATACCTCCCTGCAGTTAGTTACACAGGGTTTGACCAGTTGTAGGGCGCTTTCTAGCAATTTAGTGGACCCAGAGCAGAAACAGCCTACCAGGGAGCTATCTTGAGTTCAGTGAAGGACTGAGCTATCCTGGATAACTTCCATGCCGGCTGGTGTAGGGAAGAGGCTGTCTTGCATGTGGTTGTCTCTGAGCCTGGGTTCAAAGGCTGGGATGTCTTGTGAGGGGGAGGGGGGCGTTGAGTAGGCTCCACGTTGCCACCCTCAGCCAGCCTCCACTGTGAGCCGAAGGAGTGGCTTGTTTGCAACTATGTCTGGCATTCCTCCCACTGCTGCACTGTTTGCTCCCTGGTTGCTCAGGAACTGGCGCCCACCCCTGGACAAGCTGGGGGCCTGTAACCCACCCTCCCCCTACCTAGGGCTAAGTGGTAGCACAGTGACTTCTGTCGCCTCTGTCCTATATTGGGAGTTAAAAATGAGGTTGCTGTGGTCTGTCTTCCATGGCCCTGATTGGTAGGATGTGCAAAATGCCCCTAGCCTGCAAAAATCAGGGCTTTTGTCCCCAAGAGGTCCAGCCAGACAAAGGTTGAAGAGACTGCTTTCCCAAGGAAATCCCTGCTCCTCTGCTTGGCCTTGGTCCTCATGCCCCCCCAACTTTCTCATTTTCCCCCCCAACTTTCTCATTTTTTCTCTCCAATCCCTAGAGCCAGGCTGTCTGGGTCTAAATCCAGCTTCCTTATTTACTAGCTATGTGATCCCAGTCAATTGCATGCCTCAGTTTCCTCACCTGTCTAATGGGACCCACCTCATAAGGTTGAGTTGAGGGTTGAATACATCAATACACATAAGTTGCTTATCAGAACCATGTATGGCACACAGTAAGTGCGGGCTAGCAAGATAATATTGCCTAATGCAGTGCCTAGCGCTCAGATTCAACTCAGCAAGCATTTGCTAAGAGCCAGTCCCAGGACCAGGCACCACTGGCAGTGAGGAAAATATGTGAGTGAAGAGGACACCACCCACCTTCTCAGACTGTATATATGGTTGGTGTGGGCTGGAGTTGGAATGGGAGATGTGAGAGGGGCCAGGGAGAGTGGCTAGGCCATCTATATAAATAACCGTAAGTCAAAGCCAGGCTCGAATCCTTGAGCCAGTGCGGGGAGCTAGATACCCCAGACTTGGAGGACTCTCCTTGCCTGGGGACCCTGGCTGGGTTCTGGTCTGGATGCTGCCCTGGACAGAGACCTGTCCTGGGATTTGAGAGACCTGGTTCCTGCATGGGCTGCAGCTGACAAGCATTCAGTAGCATCATTCGTTGGGTTCCAGGGCAGGCTGGCATTATTTAGGGTTAACCCCAAACACCCGTCTAGTCCCGGGAGTGGCAGGACCCATGCCTGCCATGCCCCCTGCATCTCCCAAAGGTCCCTGATGAGCTGGGAAGGGCCTTGGGCAGCCTCCTCTCCTCAGGCTTAGGTCTGACCCCAACCTGGGCTTGGTTATCTCTCTGGGATTTCTAAACTGTAAAGAGGTTTCTGGCTTCACTGCCAATTCATTCTCTTTGTGGTTCGCAGACTGAAAACTAGTTCTGCAGGGGAGAAAAGAAACTCATCTGAGATACCCAGAATCCCATGGGCGCTTTTCTAAGGGTCAGGGGCTTTTCTCATCAACACCAACCTGCCTGCAAATCTCTGGCTGCTGAGCCTCACTCACGTGGCCTGTAATTGTGGCCCTGCCCTGTAGCCTGGGCCCCAGCACTGGTTGCCAAGGAACTGCTGGTTGGGGAGCATATGAGGGTTCTTACCTCATAAGGGTTGCTGAATTTCGATTCAACAGACATTTATTAACACCTACTGTGTGCCCAACCTGTGCTAGGTGCTATGTGGGAGGCAGGCGAAGGAGGTGGGGGGAGATGACAAAGACACCGAAACAATCAGAGGCGAGACAAGCAGCCAGGCCAATGGTCAGTCAGGTGCTAATTGTGCTCCTTGGAGCAGGGGCCAGAGGCAGCCAGGGCTCTGAGGTCTGAGGTCAGCAGCTGAAGGGGGAGGGAAGGCTTTGTGAGAGCTGCACCTCGAGCAAGACCTTGAAGCGGGGTGGGGCAATATGGGGGAAATTTGGGTAGGTAGAAAGGGGTGCAAAGGCACCTTTCTCTCCCTTCCCTGGCCACAGACTGACCTTGGAAGCCTGTATAATTGTTTGGTAAATGCATGTCACATAAAAGACCAGGTCAGCGAGGGGGTGGTTCTGTGCAGATCCCAATCTCTACTCCAGGAGATATAAAGTAGCTGGCCCAGACAGGGACACCAGCCTGTATTGATAAGACTCAAAGGATGGCCAGGTTTCCCTGTTCCCCAAGCTGAGGATTTTATTTTGAACCACCCCCCCCCCCACACACACACACACACACAGGCCCTGGTGAGATGAGATGGAAAAGAAAGATAGAGGGCACAAAAGGGACAGGAAAACTGACATGCTACAGGTGTTCATTGCAGGCACAGGCTGGCTGGGTCCCAACTTCCCCAGGCTTCTGGGAGTTCTCTGGAAGCCCAGAGATTCAGGTGGAGGACAGATATTTTAAATTTCTCATCCATCTGGGAACCAAAGGGTCTAGAGAGTCCCACGTGTTGCTACCCAGACCGTCCATCCGGCAAGGGCAAAAACTAGCCATATATTTGTTCTGCTGCTTTTGTGTTTCCCATGGCTGGGCGGAGATGGGGGATTTGGCCCTTGTTGGGTTTAATTGGATGTAAACATCTAGATACACACATAGCCTCCACACATCACTTTTCCTCTCTCACTGTCCCTTTGTCCTGTCCCCTCCCCAACTCACTGCAACACCACAGGAACATGCCAGAGAGCCATGACTTCTTGGCTGGGAAATTGTGTACTAAGGTGAGTTTCTTTGCAAAGAGACCCCAGCCTGCTCCCAGGATATGAAGGAGGATCGGGCAGCAAAGAAGGGTGTTTCATGCAGGAGGTTCTGCAAGGGAAAGTGCCAGAACATTTCTCAGACAGACCAGCAAGAAGCAAGCTTGCTCAGGTTGAGTAAGCTATGTCTTAGGGCTCCCAACCTTCTTCTTCTTCTTCTTCTTTTTTATAGAATTGAGAATCCATAAATAAACCCATATTTATAGTCAATTAATTTTTTTTAGGATTTTTATTGGGGAATTGGGGGAGGGGAACAGCCAAGTTGTTGTCCTTCAATCTTAGTTGCGGAGAGCACAGCAAGGTCAGCTCCAAGTCCAGTTGCGCTGCTCAGCTCAAGGTGCTGTGTTCAATTCGTTGCAGGTGGGTGGAGCCCCCATCCCATGCAGGAGTCAAACAGGCAGCCTCTTTGTTAAGAGTATGGGCTCTACCGAGTTCAGTCTTTAGTTGCGGGAGGGCATAGTCCACCATCTCGAACAGGCAACCTTGTTAGAAGCACGTGCTCTCACCAGCTGAACCGTCCTGCCTCCTGTTGGCAGCTCAGAGGCAGTTCAGCTCGGGTGCAGCTCACT